GTCGTCGTCGTCGCCGTCGCTGTCGCCGTCGCCGTCGCCGCCGCCGCCATCGTCGTCGTCGTCGCGCCTCGTCTCTGTCGTCGTCTTGTTTCGCGGCCTTAGTCGCCACCAGACAAGGCAGAACGGTCTTGTCGACTTCTTGCTCCACAAGATGGAGCCCGAGCGCTTCCCGGAAACGCCACTCGACGGTTGCTGGTGCGAGGCTTTCAAGCTGGGCCTGCTCTACCTGGGGCTCAGGGTCGGTCCAGACACCCCGCTCCCGACGATCACCTACGAGGGCCTGGAGACTTGGGAAGCTTTCGGCACGGCGCTAAGCCAGCACTACACCGCGAACGGGCGCCCCCTGAGCACCGAGTACACCGACGACGACCTCAAGGACGGCTTTTACAGCGGGGCGAAGGGCGAGAGCGAGGACGAGTGGTCGGTCACGTGCCGCCTCGACCACCAGGAGCCGAAGGCGGTCCTCAAGTTCGCCGCCGTGGAGCTTGAGTTTGATGACCCCTTCAACTACAACGCGAGCTTGTCGCTCAAGAAAGACGACGGGCGCTCGTGCAAGGTCGAAGACCTCCTGGGCGAGTTCGCAGCGAAGGGCGTCGTGGCTCCACGCCGCTCGCCGGACTGGACGGGCGCCGCCTTCGCGAAGAAGAGGGAGCCGACCACCCCGAAGCAGCCCGCGGACGGCGGCAAGGGCAAGGCCAAGGGCAACAAGCGGCCCTCCCCTTCGCCGCCGTCGGGGGCGGGGGTGTCCGACGCCCTGCGCAAGCGCCTCGCCACGAGGTCGTCGGGTAGTGGCCCGTCGTCGGGGGCTGCTCGCTGAGGTGGGTGCTCAGGCGAAAAGCCGACGACAGTGAGAGTCCTTGTGCGACTTTTAAACGCGCGCGCCCGCTGATGCATGGCCTTTTTGATTGCTGCCGATGCGCGCTGCGTCAGCGCCGCGGCAAGGAAAGCGGCGACAAGCCTGTCCTCGTGCATTTTTGTTCGCGCTGCGCGTGCGCTGGGCTCCACGACAAACTACAGGCTGTTCTGTGCAGCAACTTTAGCGGTTTCCCCGCATCCCTCTCTGCTCCGAGAGACGACGCTGGCACGTGAAGCGAACGGCTAAGCGCGCCGTTTGGACTGGCCGTGGCTCGGAGGTGAGAGGCCTCTGCACCCGCGGCGTTGGCCTGACGCTGTGCGCACGTCGGCGCCTCGTTGTCGACTGCGGCCTGCCGCGCTCCTGGAGCTGAAAAAAGAAACGTTACTTTCATGGATGCCGTTCGGCCTCGTTTGAGCCTTCCACCTCCTCCTCCTCCCCCTCCTCTCTCCCTGTTCCTCCCTCCTTCCTTCCCCCGAGCGCGAAAAGCCAGGCCCGCCCTCCCCTCTCCGCCCCCTGCGCGCTCTCCCCCCTCCCCCCCCCCCCTCCCCCGCCCCCCTGTCTTCCTCCGCCCCGCTCCTTTTGGCGGGGGGCCTCCAAAAAAGAAGGTTCAGAGTTAAAAGTTCGAAGTCCGAAGTTCGAAGTTCGAACTCCGAACTTCGAAATTCGCACTTCGAAATTCGAACTTGGAACCTCGTCGTTTCGAGGCCCTCCTGGGGGGTGCGTGTTTGAAACTTCTACCTTTGGGAGCACCCCCTCCTCCCCTTCCGTGTCCCTTCCCCTTTTTGCCCCTCCCCCTCCCCCCTCTTGCCCTCCTGCTCGCCCCCGACGTGGACGCGCCGAGGCGCAGAAACAATGCCAACAGCAAGCGCGCCTATGCGTGAGCCCCCTTCATGTGCGGTCGTGGGAACGACTGCTGATGCGGATCGGTACAGCATCGTTGTTAAGATGTAAAGGAATAATATCATCGATTGGTTCGCTTCCCAATGTGTTTGGTGTCAGCCGTTGGTGCATTAAGAAAAAATGGCCCCTTCGCGCGCGTGTTTGCCCCATTGCGCGTTGGGGTTGCGCGGGTGTCAGAAAACGTCAACAGAAGTGCACTTGTGCTTGCGCAACGTAATCTTTCCGAGTGAAAAACACACGCGTGTTCTAGCGTTTACACATTTGCACGCACGTTGCAAAGAATATGTGCCGCGTGTTTCCGTGGCCCCTGAGGTCATGCCACAGCGTTAAGCGAATAGACAGAGCCCCCCCGAGCGACAGGCGACCGTGCATGAGTAGGTCCATGAAACGGTACGCACAGAATACTGCGCGGGATTGCATTCCAAAAAATGCGGAACACCTTCCCGAACCAGTGGAACTTGGGTACGTTTTAAGGTGGGTATGTTTTCCCGGCCCGTTGCCCCCGCCCAAGGCCGCTGAGTGGGGTTGCGGGGGCTGTCGTGGGGGCCCCCACGAGGGTCGTCGTTGGGTTCGTCGTGGGGGTTGAGGGCAGGCGTATGCGGGGGACGTCTTGGGAGGCCGTCGCGGTGGTTGGTCGTGGGAGCCGTCGTGGTGGTGGGTCGGGTGGGGGGCTCCCAGGGGTGGCTTCGGCTGTCCCTATGGCCGCTTCCCCGGGTGTGCTCCCCGCGGGCTCCCTCACAGGGCGTGCGGCCACTCGGGTCTGCTGCCGTCGCGGGGGCCGTTGGGTGGTGGGTCGCGGGGGCCGTCTTGGGGGCCGTCGTGGGGGCCGTCGCGGGGTCGTCGCGGGGGTCGTCGTGGGGGGTGGGGGCAGGCGTGCGCGGGGGGTGTCTTGGGAGGCCGTCGCGGTGGTGGGTCGTGGGGGCCGTTGTGGTGGTGGGTCGGGCGGAGGGCTCCGGGGGCTGGCTTCTGCCATCCCCATGGCCGCTTCCCCGGGTATGCCCCGCGCGGGCGCCCTCTCAGGGCATGCGGCCTCTCGGGATGCCGAGCGCACCGCGGGGCAGGCGGCGACAGCTTTAGCCTGGCCAGTGGCGCCTATGGCCGCTTCCCCAGATATGCCCCCCGCGGGCTCCATCTTCAGGGCATGCGGCCGCTCGGTGTGCGGCCGTCGTTGGGGCCGTTGGGTGGGGTTCATAGGAGATGTCGGGTAGGGCGCGGGGTCGTGCAATCCGTCGCGGGGGTCGTTGGGCAGACGGTCGTGGGGTAGGGGTCCGTGGGGGGTCGTGGCGTAGTAGGCGCCATAGTCACACGTTGGGATGAGGGGCGGCAGCAGGAGGGCCTCGTTGTTGCCGTGGATGGCTCCGGCGTCTGCGGACCAGTAGCCGGGTGGCCCAGCTGTGGCGGGTGCCTCGATGACGATGTACTTGTGGTTGGTGGCGCCCGGGGGGGTTGCCGAATTGCTTTTCGGCGACTGGCTGGTACTGTTCGCGGTCGATGCAGGTGAGTAGTAGTCCCAAATATTTGAAGGATACGTGGGTACGATGTGTACGCATTGAGAATCCAATCCTATTGAGTGTATTCACTTTGTTCACTTCGTAATGTTCAGCCGCTGTGGCTGTGGAGGGGGGAGAGCAATGGTAAGCATGTGAGAAGCCATCGCCAGCGGCCTCTGACATGTATTTCAGGATGTGTCTCGATCGCGGGCGCCCAGTGCCCACCTGAAGGCTGGTCGCCGCGCTTGGCAGCAGCACTCGCCTGAATCCCTCGGGCGGGCCGCGGCTGGCTCCTCCTCCTTCTCCTGCTCCTCCTTTTCCTTCTCCTCCTCCTCCTGCTCCGCCTCCGCTTCCTCCTCCTCCTCCTCCTCCTCCTCCTCCTCCTCCTCCTCCTCCGGGGGAAGCTGCCAGGTGGGGGGCCCTCCCTGATGACAAGATTCAGGAGGTCCAAAATGTTGATGCTAACTGTTTGAAGGTTCTTAAGAGGCTGGCTGCTGTGTCCCGCCATGTGTGCCTCACGTGTCAGCGCACTCGTGAAGACCGAATTGGTAGAGAGTTGCACCGTGTACGCGGCCCAAGCTCATTGAATCTCCGCAAAAGAGGTTGAGGGCTCAGGGTCATGATGTTGTCAAAGTCTCTGCGTCCTTTAAGTGTGCACGGTGCCTCTGCAAATTTTCGGCTGTGCGCGGTGAAGTTTCTAAGTTTTGGCCCCGTCCGTGCCCTGGGGCGCTGGTGTTGGGATCCTCGTCAGGTCTGCAGTTGGAGCCCTCCGCCAGTGCTGAGCCGTCCCAGGGCAACCCTATGGCCCACCCATGCTTTAGCCGTACGCACCTGTCGTGCTGTTTTGTCGGTCGTGCGGGGCGCTCGCGGTCCACAATGTGCAGAAGTTGGCCGAGGAATGCCCCCCGAACCCCACGGCCACCGGTCATAACAACCCCGCGCGGCTGGCGAAAGGTAAGCCCCCGAAGAGTGGCATGACCCTTCCCCCGCCTTGAAGAGGTTATAAATTTGTTGGTCGGCCCTAAATCTGGGCTGGCACATCGGGGCTGTGCTTGCACACAGGTGTCCCATATCATCGAATCGAATCGAATCGAATCGAATCCTCCTCCTCCGCCTCCTCCTCCTCTTTCTCCTCCTCGCCCATCTTGGAGTCCTCCTCCTTGTCGACTCCCTTGCGCTGGGCAGCGAAGTGGCTGAAGCAGCGTGCTGGAACAGAGAATCATGGTGCGCGCCGGCCTGCGGGAAGAGAGCGTGCGCGGCCTCCACGGCGGAAGCACCGCAGGCGCGGAAGAGGAACCCTCCTCGGCAGGTCGGTGCCGGCGCCGGTAGTTTCGGGACCCTCCCGAGGTCGGCCACGCCTGCTCTGGCCGGTGTCGACAGACTCGGTCCCACGCGGTGGGACGAGTGCGGGCTGCGCAGGCCGGAGCCATGCCCATGCATGTGGGGGGGTTCGAGCCAGACTCGGGGCGCTCCAGAAGGGGCTTCGCCTTCGATGGGATCGAAGGAGTTGAGACCTTCTTCTCGCCGAAAAAGACGGTGGAAAGCCGGCGGAAGAGGGCAACAGCAAAACCAGTGCCCGCAACGGATGCAATTTGTTTTTTTTTTGGGGGGGGGCTCAGGGTTTCCTGGGCCCGCCATCACATGGAGCGGAGGCGACCGCGGGAGGAGTGTTCTGGGAGAAGAGGGGGCTGGTAAATGGGCCAAGTGCTGAAACAAGGGGCCAGTTTGATCTCAGGAGGGACTCAGTCTTTCGGGCCTTGTTGATTTATCAGAGGATGGCGAATTGAGACAGCGGTAGTTGGCCTTCGGGGGGCTCCCTCGTCGTCACGGCTGGACGCAGCTCGGAAACCTGGTGCGTTTGGAGCCCTGGAGGGGTCTCGGGTCCTGGGGCTGGTTCTGAGCTGCCGTTGTCTCGGCTCGCCATGCCCCGAGTCTAGGCTGGGTAATGTAATTCGTGCGTGGCGGATGCCAGCCACGGCCATGAAAGCATATGAGTCTATGAGAAGCACCTCCGCTCCCCCGTCGGCGTCCCCTGCGGAAGCACGACGGGACTGTGCTCGACGGGGCCTTCGCTGCTGCACCGGGGATGCGTGCGGCACGCCACCACCAGCCGAGCCCCCGCGAGGTGGCCCTGTACGCCGTCAACGACGTGTTCTGCGCCCTGCCCGGCGGCCTCTCCTCCGTCTCGAGCCACGACGGGTCTTCCGCGGCCCGCCTGAGGCTCCACGAGCGGTGCGTGCTGCAGCCGCCAGGAGCGGGGCCGCCAGTGCTGGCGGGGCACTGCCTCAAGGAGGAGGATGCAGGAGGGTCGGTGGCCACACAGGGGGTCCAAACGCAGCGGGGACGCTGCAGAGTCGAAGAAGAACAAGCGGCAGAAACATGAACTGTCCGAGTTCCTCGCTGAATTCTTGGATCTGGCTGGACCCTCCTGGTGGCGCCTCTGGCGCCGCCCCTGGCGCTCTCCGGAGCGGCTTGCTCCGTCTCTTCATTGTTGTGTTTCTCTCTCTCTCTCTCTCTCTCTTTCTCGCTCTCTCTCTTTCTGTATCTCTCTCCCTCTTTCCCTCATTGTTTTGTTGCTTGTTTTCATGTCTGTATAGGAATCCCAGAAGCGCTGTTGTGTCATGGGGGTTGTTGCTTTTGTTTTGTGCTGATCTCTGGTGTTCAGAGCTCTGGAGGGCTGCGGCGTGCATTTTTATTGGAGGTTGTTAAATCGAAATAGTTCACCACATCCAAATGAGATCATATGGTTACTGGTTCCCATAGCAGACACCACACTATTTCAAGTGACATCACATGGTTTGCGAAGTCTGGGGGGCCAGACATTGTGATATCATTTTGATGTTTGGGAGTTCTTGTATGAGAATGTCATAACCCCTTGTGACTTAAGTTGGACTTTGTTCATGTGCATGTCAGAGTGAGGGGGCCGAACGGTCATTCATTGTCCCTGGGTGCGTGGCTGAAGTGAGAATCCGTGGTGAGGATTCTGCCTGTTGCGTTGTTGTTGTGGTTATTGTTTATGTTGTTGTTGTTATTGTTGTTGTTGGTGTTGTTGTTGCTGCTGCCGTTGTTGTTGTCGTTGTTGTTAGTGTTGTTGTTGTTGCTGCTGTTGTTGTTGTTGTTGGTGTTGTTGTTGTTGTTGGTGTTGTTGTTGGTGTGTTTGTTGCCGTCGTCGTCGTTGTTGTTATTATTGTTGTTGAGCTCTCATTACTGAAGATATGTATTGTTGATCCCCCCTCCGGTGCACATGGTATTGTTTTAATTGAAGTGCTCCTCTCGGCGCTTGCACCCCGTTTACTGTGTTGTTGGCCCCCGGGTTACGACAACAACGGCTCTCGCCTGAGACTGTCTCACCATTTAGCCAGGACCCCGCTCCCGCCAGAGACTTCCTCGTATTTTTTTCAGGAATCGCGCTCTCGCTTGGGACTTCCTTGCACTTTATTCGGGAATCGCTCTCTCGGCTCTCTGGAGTCGCGCTCTCGCTGGATACTTGCTTGCAATGTACTCAAGAATACAGCCCTTGCATTGGAATTTCAATTCACTCAAGCGCCGCGCTCCCGACACTCAGGCACCCAGGAGTCGCGCTCACGCTTAGGACTCCCTCACAGATGATTTAGGAATCGGGATCTCGCTGCCCTTCGTGGCTTCGTTGCAGCCCTTCGTGGCCCCCTCGCTGCCCTTCGGGGACCCGTTGCAGCCCTTCGTGGCCTCCTCGCTGCCCTTCGTGGCCCCGTTGCAGCCCTTCGTGGCCCCCTCGCAGCCCTTCGTGGCCCCGTTGCAGCCCTCCGCGGCCCTCAGTGGCCCCGTCGTTGCCTTCTGTGGCCCCGCATGATCTGCCCTTCGTGGCCCCCGCTCGTTCGCGCTCTTCGTGGCCCCATACGCATTCCCTTCGTGCCCCCGCTGTCGCTCTTCGTAGCCTACTTTGTGCCCTCCGTGGCCCTGCTGTCGTTCTCTCTCGCTCTCGCTTTCACTCGTCGTCGTCGTCGTCGTGGTCGGTCCCCTGTCCGTCCCTCTTGGGGTAGGGTTGCCGCCGATCATCGCTGCCGCTGGCCAGGCCGACGGTCCGCGGCCGCCCCGCCGCTTGCCGGGGCCCGGCCTGCAGGGAAGAAATGCATCCCCCCCAAAGGGGTACGATCGACGAAGAGGGCGGATATCGAGGGTTTGGGAAACACGCGTTCAAGGGCACTCGAGCAGATAAGAGCGAACATTATTCAAATTACCCCAGTGCGACCCTACCTAGAAGTTGCTATGCTATGCTATGCAATGCTATGCTATGCTATGCTATGCTATGCTGCGCTATGCGATGCTATGCTACGCTATGGTATGGTATGCGATGCAATGCTATGCAAAGCTATACTATGTCATGCTGCGCTGTGCTATGCTAAGCTATGCTATGCTATGCTATGCTAAGCTGCGCTAAACTATGCTATGTTATGATATGCTATGTTATGATATGCTATGATGTGCTATGCTATGCTATGCTACTATGTGCAATGCTTGGCTATGATATGATATGATATGCTAATGCAGCGCTGCGCTATGCTAAGCTAAGCTAAGCTAAGCTAACCCCTCTAGACAGAGCCTAGGTAGGGAATTGCATCTATGCTGCGCTATGCTATGCTATGCTACGCTATGCTATGCTATGATGTGCTCTGCTATGCTAAAGCTCAGCGAAGCTAAGCTGAAGGTAAGCTCAGCTAAGATAAACCTGAGCTACGATGAAGCTAAGCTAAGCTAAGCTGAAATAAGCTAAGTTAAGATGAGATAAGCGACGCTAAGCTAAGGGGACGTAACTGGGGGAACCGCGGGGGGGATACTGGGGGAACCGCCCAGGGCGCTTTCCACTGCACGGCCCCTTTAAGCCCAGAGAGTAAGACCCCTTCTAGGCATAGCCTAGGTAGGGAATGAGTGCTGTTGTTGTTGCTGTTGTTGCTGCTGTTGCTGCTGCTGCTGTTGCTGCTGCTGCTGTTGTTGTTGTTGTCGTTGAACATTATTTATTCTAAAGAATAATTATTGTTGGGCCCCCTGGTGCGCGCCCCCCCGGCGCCGCCTAGGCCGCAGCTACATTTTCATCATTTTCGTGAGGAAGCCTCAGGTAAAACGATGTGATCCAGATCCGGTTGTTTTGTTCCCCCCCGCTGTCCCTTGCAAAAAACACTATAAAATGAAATTTCTTGTTCTAAAATAACCAAACTTCAAGAATCCCTTGCAAAAAATAAGGTAAAGTGGACATTCGCGCGCGCAAGACGAAATCCTTCCAAAAGCTTAGTGTTCGGAGCGATTTTAACATAAAAACATCAAAAAACCAATGGTTTTTCAACAAAAAAATGTCAAAATCTCATCCCGCGCGCTCTTGCGGATTCGTAGGAAACCCAACACTTTTTAAACATTTCTGTCAAACGGGCTTTTGCGAGCAACTTTTTCGAACTTCTGCGACAACGGTTGCGCACCTGCCAGGGCCATCATCCCTGTCAAATAATACCATGCGGGACACATTCGTTTTTTCTTCGCGCGCGCACGCCGAAATCTCCAAAAACCATTGGGCTTCTTAAGAATTTTAGCACCGCGCATCATAAAATCACACGAATCGCACCGTAGGTCCTCGAAAAACACCTGCACGACAACCATCGGGACAACCATATCCTCTCTCTCTTGTGTATTCCCACATCCCTCAGGAATTTGCCCTAAAGATGTGATCAACTATCTTGTGAGTACGTATCATGTGTATCATGTGTATCATGTACCATATGCATCATATGCAACAGATGTTCTGTGGAAGGCTTAACAACTTCTGTGGGTTAACAAGGCTTAACAACTTCTGTGGGTGTACGAACGTAGGCTTAACAACTTCTGTGGGTGTGTACTCCACGCCAGTGTAGTAGCCACGGTCGTCCGCAGGCCACGAAGTGAAGTGTCCGAACGTCATAGGGCGGGAAGCTGGGTGTGGGTGGTGGCGAAGAGTCGTGTGGATATTTGGTAGAGCTTGCACTGCCCCCCCACAAAGTGGGGGTATTGGCTGGCGTCGCATGAAAACCCTGGCACTGGTGAGAACACTGAGCGTTCGGGTAAAGTGATTGTTGTTGTTGAACACTATTACTTCTAAAGAATTATTATTGTTGGACCCCCTGGTGCACGCCCCCCGCCCAAAACCTAGGCCGCAGCTACATTTTCATCATTTTTCTGCGAAAGCTTCAGAAAAGTGGATTACCCCCGGATCCGGTTTTTTGTTGACGCTCGTTTTCCCTTGCAAAAAACAATAGAAAATGAAAATTCTTGTTCTTAGTTGATCAAATTTCAAGAATCCCTTGCAAAAAATAAGGTAAAGTGGACATTCGCGCTCGCAAGACGAAATCCTTCCAAAACCTTAGGTTTCGTAGCGATTTTAACATAAAAACATCAAAAACCCAATGGTTTTTTAAGAAAAAATTGTCAAAATGTCCTTCCGCGCGCTCTTGCGGATTCATAGGAAACACACCACTTTTTAAACATTTCTGTCAAAAGGGTCTTTGCGTGCTACTTCTTCAGGTGCTTTGAACTTCTCCAACAACGGTTGCGCGCCTGCGAGGGCCACCATCCCTTGCAAAAAATGAGACGAAGTGCACATGCGCGCGGCCGCCGCGCGCGCATGTCGAAATCCTGCCAAACACAATGGGTTTTCAATAATTTCAAGATGCGATGTTCAGAAAACATATGAAAACGCACTACTTTCTCATCCGAAAAATCTCGAAATCCATTCGCGGTCTCTTGATGAATCTTTAAAACCCAAGATGGCCCCAACAGGCGCGCAAGATGGCCCCAAGAGGCGTCCATGAGGCCCAAAGAGGCGCCCAAGATGGCCCCAAGATGCGAAGACCATTCGGTTGATTATTCCCCTACGTGTGACTGGACCTGTTTGCGAAAGCAGGAGAAAGTATGGCACCCCTTTGTGTCCAGAGCCGCGCCGTCTGCGTTCTTCCTTTCTCGCTTCTCTCCTTTCCTCCTTGTCCTGCTCCTCCTCCCCCTCTTCCGCCTTGGAGCCGTATTGGAACTGTCGATGGCCATCTCCCTTTCTCCCTCGCATGTCTGCTTGTACATACGTATAATTTCAGAACTTACCGTGCATGCGATCGTTTACAACATGGTGGACCGTGCGTATGTCACGAACCTTGTATACATGTGTTTCTCTCCCTCCGTCTGGCTGTGCACGCGCGCGTTGGGCACTGAGAGTTAGGATCATAGCGCCATGAGTCTATGAGCAATGCATGCGTCATCCTTG